ATTTTCATTACACTTACCGATATATGCAATATATAGTAAGGTAAAGTATTGCCATTGTGAAAATTTTCGAATCTGAGTTTTCAACGGAAATACACGTTTTGATGTCCCCTGAGTCCAAATAACTTAAAATAAGTCCCACGAAATGGTCTGTGTGTCTGTGTACATGTGAACAGCCTAGTTAAAAAACGAAAAGTCGTAAAAAACTTAAGTTGTGTATTTAAGGTTTTTATATAGTTCAGATGTGACAGCAACTTTTTCGTTAAAATCGGCTAACCGGAATTGTCACTTTATATCAACGGTGAAACAAATTTTCACAATTTTATCAATAACTGCTTTAATGATTTTGATTAACTCGGTGTATCGTCGTATAATTAAGTGGTCTTTAATATCATTGAGGTCATATCCCCATTGATGTCACTTTACAGGGCTTAATTGCCTAATGTTCATATACGTCTGTCTCTAATGTACATTTAATATAGATTATTTTTAAAAAATGGCCTTTCTTTTATAGACAGGGACTACAAAAGATGGCTAAATATGAAGTTTGAAAGAATATGATAATTAGAAACTGGAGAAGAAAAAAGAAAATGCTTATGTTTAAAACTCTATAACTCTGCAAGGAACCGTCCAATTTCAATGATTTTTTTTTATTTTGTCAGCAATTCAGGTATTCAAGTCAATGACATTGTTTAAGACACTATTTCATTGTATTTGCGTGAAAGAAGAAGTGAAGTATAAAAATATTTTATGGATATGTTTATAACCTCAAATACTTTTGCTGTAGTTTAATAACGCTAGATATGATATGATATTTAAATTATCAGGGACCTACCGGCCGTTTATTAAAAAAATCAAGTAACCTTTTGAGAAAATTAAATTAGTCTATAAATTTTCCCTTTGTGAAATATCAACATTATCCACTTACAATTAGTGGGACAACTTTTGACCTAACCATGGCAGGCATTGAAAATCTCGTAATTTTATTTCGGTAAATTTTACAATGGAAAATATCAGTTTAATAATCAATTGTCCTACAATCCCTAACCCTTTACAGGTTAAATATTTATATATAAAATACTTTCAAATCTATATAAGCATGTATGAGCCTTTCGTTTGACAGAATGACTAATTTCAATTTTAACATTGTTTATTATTAATTTTAGTGATGTTTCTATTTGTAAAATTTATATCTTTATTTACAGTTCTATATTTCAATCACCAACTCTGGAATGAACTTATTCATTATCTGTATAGATATTACTTTTCCAACTAGAAATATCACTAAATGGAAAATAACAGTTTAATAACTAATAGACTTACAATCCATAATCGTTTATAGGTTAAATATTCAGATGTACTTCAAAATCTCTCTAGGCGTATATGAGCCTTTCGGTTGACAGAATGACTTACTCCATTTTCAACTTTCTTCATTATTAATTTTAGTGATGTTTCTAGTAATAGAATTTATTCACAGTTCTATATTTCAACACTTCAATCACCTACTCTGAAATTGACTTACTCATTGTCTTTATAGATATAACTTTTCCAACTAGAAATATCACTAAAATGACATTACTCAAAACTGTTGAAATTGGAGTTAGTCTTTCTGTCAACTGAAAAGCTCAGAGACTGAAGTTATATGGTTTATAAAAGCAGTGGGGGTAACTAGATTTTTATTTCCTATCGTCGATATATTAATAAATATTTGTAACTTTAGTGGTCTTAATGATATCTGGAAACTTTAAGTTTTAGCTTCCTTTAAAATGCATTTCAAATATAATAATCCAACACGGCGGTGAATTTCTATTAAAAGTAGAGCGGAAGAGAAAGATGTGTGTTGGGTGCACCAGGTTTTCTTTATATATAATGGAAACGATCTGAAATAGTTAAGACGAAAAACTACTTGATAATTTTTATTTTTTAAGATTTATATCAAAATGGTTGCCAATCTTACACAAAATAAAAAACATCTGCCAAGTAGAACCAGAATAGCTTTCTGACTATTTCTATTGGCTAGATAATTACCACCATTTTAAGATTTGTGATTTAGCGATTCAAAATAAAGTCTATGGCAGAAAAAAAACTTTTTTTTTGTCCTCCCCTTCCTCGCCTTTAAGGCTATACGGGGGTTTTCCCGGGCCAGGGAGTGTGGGCAGGGATTTAGGAAGCAAAAGAACTGGACGGAATTATATAAAATAGATATATACCAACTGACACTCACAATCTTCGAAAACTTCATGAAGTGGAATAAACGGTTTTTCCTACCAAATGGATTCGGCTCAATATTACAGTCCGAAATCTATAGGATAAATTAATATAAGCAAATACCAATTTGCCAGATTGGTTAGACTTATCCAAGATCTTCAACGTTTCAGAATAATGGTTACCCAAATTTCTACGATTCAATAACTTTTATCCTGAAACGTTAAACGTCTAGTATAAGTTTAACCAATCTGGCTAATTTGCTATTGTTTTTGTTATAACTTCATTTATTAATTTTTTGGGTACTAGTTCACATGAGTTCCGCATGGATTGCACGCGGTCCACAATCACTCTTTCCCGCCACTTAAGTACATCTATAACCTTAACCATGTTTAGTTATACATAAAATTTAGTTATACAGGAATGAATATTTATCTATATAACGATTAATAGATACATTTAATTTATTAATATTGTCCACTTTTCTCGCGCAATCTTTAATCTGACAATATTTTCATAAAAATCGTATTTGACAACTTCATAGTGGACTCTTATATCTAAGAAATCCAAAAAGCAACAAAACTTCGATGAACAATTTCAAATCCGATAAATACTAAATAACTTCAGATTATTTATTATCCAAATGATAAAAAAAAAAAAAAATGTATACACAGCTACAAATATCATATTTAGTATAAGCAGTATAAGCATATTTAGAGCCACTGCATGTAAGCACGTGTCAATAACAATTTTCTTTCTAATTTTTTTATTTTCACAGGCCTTGAAAGACGCCTCAAACATCATTATATATATATATATATATATATATATATATATATATATATATATATATATTATTTCAGAGTAATAACCGTTATAATAAAAATTAATAATTAAAAAATTAGTAAATGCATAATTCGTTAATCGAAGGAAGTTCCATGATGGGAATACTTTTTTTTTTAAATAGATGAAAATGGATTGTGTGGTGGGGGGATTAGCTATAGCTACTCAAACAAACGACACATTAGAATTATGTGTAACTCATCCAAGACAAATTATAACTCTAATCTAAGCCCAATTACAATTTTTCATTTAATGGAACTTGTTATTAAGAACTTGAATAAATATAAGTTAAACTTTTACTATAAACCTGGCATTTTATTACAATAACGTTCGTTAGAAATTTTATTTTTAAAACTTTTTTCTAAAATGTATCACACATACTGTTAAAATATAACTTTTTTCCTATAAAGTTCTATAAACGTTTCAACCACTAAAGTATAGGTATATTAAACAGAATAACGTTTGTGAACCCGTAAGCGAAGCTTTCTTCGAAAAGTAATCTAAACAATTTATACGTATTTGATCATTTGTTCACTAAACCCTTATATCCCTCCAATTGTTAATAATTTATCTAGAGATAAAATTGGCCAAATCTAACGGGCTTTTTTGAGATATGTGTGCCAAGGTATATGCAGAACATTTGCGCAGAAATTAGAGGAAGTCAATGGGATAAAATATATACATCACTTTTTCACTAATCGCTAATTTTCTTCTAACACTGAGCCAAATAGTTTGACCGTCAGATAATTATAGATTAACAAAACAATTTCAGTTGAATATTGTACTCGAAGTATCTTAATCTCAATTTATCTATGGTTGTTTTCCACTGCTAAGTTTGAGAGTAGACATGTCAAGACATCTCTTTGGCGGGAACATTTCATCGCTTGCAAGCTTTCTGCACAATCTCACTGTATCAGTACAACACATTCATGGTCATTTTTATTAGTCTAATAAGCTTCTGCGAAATCCAAATTCTTTACAAAACAATTCATGTATGATGCAGTCGTAGGCTTCTTGGAGTATAAGAAAAGGTGGAGATTAATTTTATGAAACTTTATAAACCCGACCTTTTTCTGGTATTGTCTATGGTCCAATATTTGGAACATTTTCTCTCTGGCTTAACCTGGAACACGCAAGGGATAAAAACTATGAAACCAAATTGTCTTCCTTCTTATATAGTGGACATATTTATCTGTACGATTACAACCAATCCATGTTCTGGGATTTAATTCCTTGTAAGGTAGTACTGTTTCTTGAACAATGGTTGTGAAGTGAAGTGATTTGACCATCATCGTATTCATCTGAGAATTTTTTCCTTTTTTTAATTATTTAATTAAATGTCCTTTATTGAGACAGTTTATGATATTTATCAATAAACATATAATCTAGTAAATTATTTAATTAAGAGTACTCAGTTTTTAGAGAACCCAGGAACGATTGATGGCTGAGATTATAGAATGAATAATAAGTGGCAGCCGGAAAATTCTGCGTAGTAGTACTTAGTCCCTATTCAAATTATGTATTTCTTCCTTCATGTGTTCATGCCTCATTCATCCTTGAGAAGTTCAACTGGGATACCATCTATACTCAGTACTTTGTATTTAATTAGTATTTTTAGACCTTTCATAACCTCTATGCAAGATACCTAATAACTAATAATAATGTATTAGTCATTCGCCATTCATCAACGAGTTGATGGTCTCTGGAAGATACAAGTTATGCGTCATCACTTAAGGAGCTTCCTCTCCATTATCAAAAGACAGACTTATAATTCAATATAGTAATTGCCTATTCGGCTCAATTCACTCTTTTTGTTCTTTTTCTTTTTATGTTAAAATTTAGAAAATATTTTTGATTTTTTCAAATATTTTTTTCGAAACTTATTTATAGTGGTCATGTTTATTTCAGGATGGAGGGAGTGAAGTGAGGAGGAGTGGAGGTGGTGGGGAACCGAGATGTCAAGCGGCTCGAACGTGACAGGGAACATCAGCAGCCCCGGAGATGGGAGCGACTATTACACCCTCACTCAGATAATCATCATCGCCATCGTTACGGCCATCCTTAGCGTGACCACAGTCATCGGCAACATCATGGTCATGATCTCCTTCAAGATCGACAAGCAGCTCCAGACCATATCCAACTATTTCCTATTCAGGTAACTCGTCTCTTGTAAACAAGGACCTAACTGCATGGAAAGAAATGTTTATTATCATGTTATGATATAGTCGATTTTCACTCTTATTTGTACCATCTACTCAAGGGATGGTTGGTAAATATCATTAGCAACAGATTTAACAATTACAGTCATTAGAAATAGATTTAACAATTACTATCCCCCATTTACAAGATACGACCCAGTGGTATGCACTAAATGCAACACACTGCAATTATCATTTCCTAATCATTATCAACTCTTACAATAAATGTATCTCATCCAGCAGACATATAAATGGCTGATTAAAAAAGCTGACTGGTCCTATTTTCAAGAGATAACTTGTGGACATTGGTTTGTCTGAAACTGACGTTGAACGCTTAATCGCATAATTAAACAATAGATTACTTCCAGCAGCTCAGATGGTGATTCAATCTAATTCAAAATCTGACACTACAAATAATAGCTCCCGCTCCCCTGTACCCTGTTGGACTGAAGCATTTAAAAAAACAAAACAATAATAGACAGAAAGAAATCATTAAAAAAAAATGTCTATTCCGACCATCTTCTGAAAAGCTAGAAATATAAAAATATGACAGAAAACATGCAAAATATTTAATTAAAAAATATATATATATATATGATGGCAGAATTTTCTCACTAAGGCTGCAAAACAACAAGTGTTAGAAAAATTATTGGTGTTTGTTATTCACCTGAGATCAATTATTTAAAGAATCGCGAGGAATACCGAACTGACTCAGTGACTTTAGTTAAACATACCTTATCCTTAAATTTCTCAGCACTCTTTCTTAATAGAAAACAATCTATCGAACAGGTACCATTAGTTATTGCTGATAATTCATTAGAACCATTTAATCTGCCATATTCAATGACTGAATCTATCAAAGCTTTGAATTTTCCGAAAAGATTCTTCACCCGATCCAGATCAGATTTGTTTAGGAATGATTAATAACTTAAGTCTTTTTAATAAATCAACTGTTCTAAAAATCTTAAATAAATTATTTGTCTCTAACAGTTTTCCAAAAATCTGGAAAACAGCTATCATTATTACTATTCTAAGATAAAAATACTATGAATATTAATAGATTAACTTAGACCGGTTAATTTAACCTCTACTTGCTGTAAACTGATGAAGAAATTAAAAAGCAGTTTGTTATGTCATTTTTAATCCAAAAGTTTACTGCCAGAATGGTAGAGTGAGAAGCACTGGACACAATCTGGTTTATTTAGATATTGATATTTAAATACATTTGAAATCAAAAATAAAATATTTACTGTTTCTTGAAATATAGAATGCATTCTGTAGGACGTGGTAAATATTCCATAACTAATTTTCTAACTAATAGAATTTTATGGTCAGAATGTCCTTTTCCACGAATTTGAACAAGAGAATGAAGTGCCACAAGTTCGTGTATTTAGCGCTTCACTTTTTTGTATTTGCTTTAATACAAAGTAAGGCTTACTTTATGCTGACGATCTTGTAATTTATACCGAGGGAAACCAAATGATCAAGTTGGATCAAGTTTTAATAAATGGAGTTAAGGATTCGGAGTTAGGGTGGTTAATGATATGTTTTAATTAATATATTTGAGTAAATCATGTATTCAAAGTCTTTCTTATTGTCGATTATATCTAATCTTAATATAAACATATGTGGGACCCCACTGGCTGTATAACACGGAAAACCAGAATGACGTGCTTACGAAACACTTAGACTATCTTGTGACTTGTGACTTGCCAAATCTACACATCATTTTATAAGACAATACGAATGAAGTTTACAAATTATTTTATTTTTTGAAACTGGACCATGGAATTTGATTCTTAATGAAAGTTAGGTGATTATGACCCAAGAGGTTGCCTTTAAATTACAATGCAAATGATCCAAGTGACTACTTTTACTTTGTAGACTTCATCTTTGAACCAGTCACAAAAAAAAATGATTCAATACTGTGAGGTCTGGATATCAATACATTGGAACACTGCTATCAACCCAACGATCTATAAACCTTTCTTCCAAGTGAGGTCCCACCTAAAAAGCGAAATTATCGTATAAAATACTAAAACAGGTCTTCGATAACCGAAATGCCAAACGTGTATGAAATATTATTTATTTATGATTTTTTACTTTCCTACCTATACTAGGTAAGGAAAGTATTGCAATAGGGTCAGTTTTTTAAAATTTGTAAATGGCCAATAAAATGTAATCAAATAAAAATCGGATAAGTGGCATACATATGATACTTTTTATTAATTCCCTGTGCTCAACCCATTATTGGAGTTTCGTCCTTTCCTCCCAACTCACCCTGTATAGGTAAGTATTTGGATGAAGTCTTAATAAATGGAGTTAGGGATTCGGGGTTATGGTGGTTAGTAATATGTTTTAATTAATATGTTTGAGTAAATTATATATTCATGTCTTTCTCATGGTCGATTATATATACTCTTAATTTAAACATTAGCGTGTGACTGAGGATAGTAACGCCTGTCTTGTTGCAGTTTGGCTGTGGCGGACTTCGCGATAGGGCTGATCTCGATGCCGCTGTTCACGGTGTACACCCTGCTGGGCTATTGGCCGCTGGGGCCGCACGTCTGCGACACCTGGCTGGCCCTCGACTACCTGGCCTCCAACGCCTCGGTCCTCAACCTCCTCATCATCAGCTTCGATAGGTACTTCTCCGTCACACGTCCTCTCACATACAGGGCGAAGCGCACTACCAACAAGGCGGCTGTCATGATCAGTGAGTACCTTACAAGTATAATATTTAAATAACGATATTTAAATTATCATAGTCAAGTAAGTCTCTTTGATTGCATAGTAGTGGAGGTACCGGAAGAAGATGGTGTGGTCAGTCCCGGATCACTGTTACTGAGGGGTCAAAGAAACGGGACTTATTTTATTTTATATTTATTATTTTCTTAATTAGATCCGAACACTATTGTTTTTATTTTTATTTTTTCATATTATGTCATTAAAAAATACTTTGTTAAATGCCAGGGAGACATTCATAAATAGACCAGTTACACATTCCTTTTGCTCTAGCCCTCCAGAAATGTAATTATTAACTGTGCGTATTTGTTGTGTCGTTGAATGTGAGGAGGAAAAACCGATTCGATGCACAGGTATAATTTTTTGTTGAATGAGTTCATCAACAAGCTTTTTATATAAACATTTTATAATATATCGGAAGGAGACTGATAGATTTATAAGGTCATGGTATGTATACGCCTTTTTCTATTTTATAGAACATTTTAATGTATAGATATTTCCATCAATTAGGAATTGAGTTAGTTTAATATACAGCTATACATTGTGCTAAGAGGCACCAGGGCTTTCTCTGGGAATTTCCTAGCATACGCCTTACATATCTATGCTTAAAAAAAACAAAAAAACATATTTATGGTTCAGCAAAAAACACATATCTTCCCAATCAAAATCATAATAAACTACACAGACATAACAATAGACTTATAAACGACATGCTCATTAGAAGAAGATCGGAAAGGAGCTGGATGAGAGATCTTCTGTCATAAATTATAGATAGGTGTACATACTAGTGCTGCTTGATACCATATCTTTGCTTGAAATTGATTGCTGGCACATTTGCTTATTGTCATCAATGACAGTTGCAAATACAAAAGTGAAGGGGCAATAAATAATATTTCGAAACAATGCGAAAACTATTGCTATATAAATTTCGAATATCGTGCTCCGAATTTTATCACCGTAACTTGTCTATAGACGAATCATCTTTACTGTTCGTAGATGTGAAGAATTTGGAATTAGTTCATATTCATTAGACCGTCTCCTTAACCTAAAATAACATTAACGTGGCATAATACTAACACGATATATTTGTGTTTTTTTCCTACATGTTTTTACTGGATTCAATTTTTTCATATCCAGTAATTGTGATAATATTTTAATATTTTTTGGATTATGCCTGTTACATACACATGATGAATATATGCTTAAGTGCATTTCATTGATTTAATAACATCCCAATTTGATATAAAAAAATATAAGGTATAGGTATATATAAAGCAGAACGTTCTTGTTTGATCGTGTCAGTATAAGGAATCGCTAGTCCGGTTTCAAATACCTTTTTACGTAAGGTATTCCGTTTATAGAGTCTGACGTAAGGCTTTATAACCACATGCTGCGACCCATATGAACTGTGCAGTAACCATAAATGTCAATAATTCTGGAGAGCAATACTGTTCCCATTATAAAGAACGTAGTATCTTTCAAAAAGTCATTTTGATATTCGTAGATCATTGTAATAAAAAAAAACTACCTGTTTAGATTCACAGTAAATAAAATAATTTTAATTTCATAAAATGACGTATATTTAGTTCTAATAAATGATTTTATTATTATAAATGTATAGGCATTTTTGGTTTGTAAGATATCGTGTACTTTACTGATGGAGAGGGATCCATCCTCAAACGTTCCTTCAACGAAATTGGAAGGAAGAAACCACGATGCACAGTAAATGCAGCCACAGCACACTGCAGGTCTTAAGTCTACTCTTAGAAAGCCTTAACAAGACCTTGCCTTTGTCCTCTTCTTGTGGCTCAAAATACTTTTAATGTTGAGGTGGTTAAAAAAATTATTTAAGCCGAGCCTACAACATTGTAGTAAACACAATTTTTTTTTTCTTAACGATAACTTCATGGTGCCTTATCGAGATCAGGTTGCGCAATAATCTGTTTGATACTCAGAGAGAAAGAGATATAAATATCGTTTACGTTGAGGTACTGTAAGCTTCCTTACATAAGCCAAAACATGCCTACTTCTTTAAAAACTCCTTGTAATTATAATATCAACAATTGAAGATGATTTCTATCGGGTACGTCTTTGTTTTCAGTGATTGATCCTTGTGTTTTACTTTTCTACCGCTAATAAGTAAGGAAATTATTGTATTTGGAGCAAATTTTCAATGAATATTTACGTTTCATTGACCCCTGAGACCCAAATAAGTT